GTAGTTTTGATTTGCATTTCTCTAATGGCTAATGATCCTAAGCATTTCCTCTTGTGTCTGTTAGCCACCTGAATGCCTTCATATCCTTTGCCCATTTTTTTAATTGGGTCGTTTGTCATTTTGTTGTTGAGGTTTTGTAGTATCTTGTAGATTTTAGAGATTAGATGCTGATTGGATTTGTTGTAGCCAAAAATTTTTTCCCAGTCTTTAGGCTGTCTTTTGACTCTTTTGGTGAAGTCTTTTGATGAGCGTAAGTGTTTGATTTTTAGGGGCTCCCAGTTATCTACTCTCTCTTCTGGTGTTTGTGCATTGTTACTTATGGTTTGTATTCTGTTTATGCCAGGTATTAAGGCTCCTAGTGTTGTCCCTATTTTTTCTTCCATGATATTTATCATTTTTGATTTGATATTTAGGTCTTTGATCCATTTTGAGTTAGTTTTTGTGCATGGTGTGAGCTATGGGTCTTGTTCCAGTTTTTTGCAGATGGATATCCAGTTATGCCAGCACCATTTGTTAAAGGGACTGTCTTTTCCCCAGTTAACGGACTTTGGGCCTTTGTCAAATATCAGCTGCTCATAGGTGGATGAATTTTTGTCTGTATTCTCAGTTCTGTTCCATTGGTCTATGTATCTGTTGTTGTACCAATACCAGGCTGTTTTGACTACCGTGGCAATATAATAGGTTCTAAAATCATGTAGTGTGAGGCCTCCCACTTTGTTCTTCTTCTTCAGTAATGCTTTACTTATCTGGGGCCTCTTCCCTTTCCATATGAAGTTGGTGATTTCTTTCTCCATCTCATTAAAAAATGCTGGTGGAATTTGGATCGGGATTGCATTGTCTCTGTAGATTGCTTTGGAGAATTGACATTTTCACAATGTTGCGTCTTCCTATCTATGAGCAAGGTATGTTTCTCCACTTATGCAGGTCTCTTGCAGTAGTGTCTGTAGTTTTCACTGCATAAGTCAGCAGCCATACTCTTAACCACTATGCCACCAGGATTTCCTGGCTATCACTTACTAGGTACTATAAAACCAAACCAAACCCGTTGCCATTGAGTCAATGGTGGCTCTTAACCACTGAGCCACCAGGGCTCCAACTAGTTACTATGATAGCCAAATAAGCCTTGGATGACAATGACCTCATTTTGTATAATAATGAAATTAGTCCTTGGGTGGTGCAAATGATTAAGCACTTGGCTGCTAACTGGAAGTTTGGTGGTTCAGATCCACCCAGAAACTCCTTTGAAAAAAATCTGTGGGAAACTGAGTGCATTGCAACTACTTCTGAAAGATCACAACCATTGAAAATCCTATGGAGCACAGTTTTACTCTGATACATATGGGATCGACATGAGTCAGAATAGACTCTACAGCAACTAGTTATAATAAAACGAATCCCAAATATTCATATGGAATGTTAACTATTCCCAAGTCCTTTTACATCTTCTATTTCATTTTTCTTCACACATTGTCTGTGAGAAGGGCTTATCAGGGTGTTAACAGCTGAAGAAATCCAGAGGTGATACATAGCTAAAGTGAGTTTACCCTATGACTTCTTTCTCAAAGATCCGTCTTTCTCACTGTATGTCCAATCTGAGGCATCATTTAGGTATCCTTCTTTTCCCATGATTTTGTGATCTTACTTACAAGGTTGCTATCTCTATTTTCCTGAATTCAATCTCCTGGTTCCCAACTCATCATTTCTAACCCAACTAACCCTACAACAATGAAGGACAGCAGAGGGAGTTCTCAAACTTCACCTCTGAGATGCCCCATTTTATCTCAGAGGTCCACAAAAGGAAAGGAAAACTTTCTCTATGTCCATCCTCTGTCTGCTTCCCCGACTTATCTCACCACTTGATAAAAAAGGGAGACAGCTCTCCTACCATTCCTTCTTTCAATACAGCTCACTCTATTTGAAAGTGAAACAAGGAAGACATAAGATGAAATGAGAAGAGGACCAGGGGTTTAGGAAAAGAACTGGATTGGTGGAGCCAAAATTAGAACTTGCAGCCAAATTTATAATAATGATATAATTAATTATAATAATGATATTAATGATAATAATTTATCATTTGAGCTGCATTAGCATTAAAAAACATAAAATAACAACAACCAGAAACAGAAACACTAAAAACTCTGCCACTTCTGTCTTCTCATGCGAATCTCTCACGTCTCTCACAAATTAAGTTCCAGTTTGAAAGGTCATAAAGCTAGAAGGTGGCAAAGCCGGGACTCAAACCTAGGTTCGTGTGACTTTGAACCCTAGGGTCTTTCAGTATCTGGGTTCTCTCTCCTGGAGGAGACCCCAATCTTATGGAACTTGGTGGAGGATTAAAGGAGAAGTGGTGGGAACTGAATAGAATGCAGGAGGAATAAGTGACTGAACCCTGTCCAGTGTGATGGAAGCCACGGTCTTATCCTCTATTACTTAAATCGTGAGGAAAGCTCTACCTCCAAGCTCTGTTCTCTTGGATCTGATATCTGTAATTTTCCTAATGGACTCTAAGGTTTAGATTCTGCCTTGGATTTGGGTTACAAGTTACTGGGATCTGGGCTCAGAGTTCCAGTTTTGAGCCTGAATAATTTGGATGAGCTATACTGCTATAGATCTTGGAGAAATTTGTCTCCATACTCCTCTTCATCACAGGGAAAGATCTGGAATTTCATTTTCTCTCAGGGAAGAAGACAGTATCTCCAGGGATGTTTCCCCACCACCCCCTATTCATAAGGTAAACTCTAAACTCCCTCCTTTCCCTATCACCACAACAGCATCATACTCAGGCCAATCAGGGCCCCAGTAGTCCTGACCTTTGAGAATTCTCGCTCAGACACATAAAGCCTGACTCTTAATTTGGCTTCATGCCTGCATGAGGCCAATTCTGGAGCCATTGTGAGTGCTAGCCCTCTGACTGCCCCTGCAACCCTCGTTTCACAGAGCTCTCTGAAGTAAGTTTGAATCTGTCTGTGTCTTCTAGGTGTGTGTCTGAGATGTGTGTTTCCGTCTACAGTAATTCTGTTTGTGCCTCTATGATTCTTTCAGTCTCTCTCATGGTGTTTCTGTATCTGAGTCTCTGTCATTGTCTACATGTGTTTGCATATTTGTTGAGATTTGTTTGTCCTATGATAGAGAAGTTTAAGACAAAAACAAAACATATTTAAAAAAAAAAACCCAAAATCTCTAAATCTCACTTTAATATAGATTTTCTACAAAAGGACTAATATTCATTTAAGTGCCCTGTGACCTCCAAGCTGCTTGCTGATCTACATACAAGGCAGAACCAAGATAAATTAAGGGGTGAGGGTCTGGGAATCATATTCCACTTGTCAGGGAAGTTGTTAATCTTGAGGGAAGAACAGGGATAGAATATGCAAGGTTTCAGCGGGGCTGGTACATGAAGAAAGCCCTGAAAGTGAAGAGAGTAAGAGAATGTAGGTTCTGGGTCCATGCTCAGTGTTACAGTATGCTTGCCTCCACAGCCACAGCTCTTTATAACCCCTTGACTGTACAGTTCTCACAACTGTCCATCCACTTCAGCTGAGCATTCTCTTTAAACTGTGTATACAGAACATTTCAAGTCAACAATGGAGAGGCACAGAATTGGTAAATCATACATCCAAATCTGTTGAGTGGTTGAGTGAACTGATGTTTAGAGATAATTCAGCTTTTATACCAACTGTGAGTGCACATACCTACTTCACTGTTATCAGATTACATTATATTATATTTTCATCTTCATTAGGATTTAGCTATTTCTCTCTGATCTCTTGACCACTAATGAATAGAGTCCTTTATCTCTGTGTCCTTGATCTCTCCAGGGATTCTAGATAAAATCTGTTCTTTTTGAAGCCACCTACATATTTACTCAGTAGCCTTTCTGGTTACTGCTTTTAAACTCAAAGTTTGCTTGTGTAGTAGGCTAATTTTCATGTGGAATGCCAATATCCATTACCCATATTTGTATTTCTCCCCTTTTCTTGCTTTCTGAAACCACAATCTTTCACATAACATGTAGAATACCACTTTCCCAGGTGTCCTTGTATTCTTAGACTCACATTAGCAGAGATAAAACTTAATTCTTTCTGAGTAATCCATCCTAGATGAGACTGGAGTTTATGCCCATCAGCACAGTGTAATGGAAACACCACTGCAAGAGGAATCAGTGGAGCTAAACTATAATCCAGGTTCTGCAAAAATTGACTGTCCAGCCTTGGGTACATCAATCACTCTTCCTTTCTGGGTCTTAGTGTCTACTATGAATTAAATATTTTATATTTATTCATTGCTTCATATTTCATACAATATCATGTTTACAACAGCCTATGAGGCAAATGTATTTTTATTCCAAATTTATAGAGGGAGACATCAAGGCTTGGTAAGATTATTGCCTGTTCTAAGTCACACAGAGAATAAACTATCAGTTGGGATTCAAACTAAGGTTTTTGGAATTTGTTTGCAGAGCTCTGAAACACTGCATATATTAATTATCTCATTTTTTCTTATATACAAACAAGAGAATCATATTATCTTTAATTCCACTTTTCATGTAAAAAACAAAACAAAACTTTGTATCAGAGTATAAGTTGCCTGCATCACACATCTAGTAACTGTCTGAGCATGGATTTTGACCCAGGTCTGATTTATTCCAAAGTTTCTGTTCTTAAATTTTTAAGCTATGCTATCTCCCATAAAGACTGGGCAGTCTCAAATATCCCTTTTACAGGTAACATTTTAGGATTCTGGAGAACAGAGGAATGGGAGGAAAGAAGAGAGTGTCTGTCATAGGTTCTGAGGGATGATTATTCCTACTCAGAATGAAATCGATGACTTCAACCCCTACCACTCTCGCTCATCTCCCTCCTTCAGCCTTTGAGGTGGGCCGCAAAGCCAGAAGATCCTATAGTGGGAGCTTACTTCAGTTTTTGTTTTTATTTTTCTTTAAATGGCAGGTCAAGACTGGTGTCTGCTATTGGTGACATGGGAGCTAAGGGCAATGCAAGTCTTGATCTCTTACCCTCTTTCCTGACTGGTATCCCAGGACTGGAAGCTCAGCATGGCTGGCTCTCCATTCCCTTCTTCACCATGTACATCATAGACATTGTAGGCAATAGCCTAATCATGGCAGCAGTGCAGGTGGACCCTGCCTTACATGAGCCCATGTATCTGTTTCTCTCCATGATGGCCATCACTGAGGTGGGAGTCTCTGTATCTACACTGCCCACTGTCATAGGCATCCTTTGGTTTGATGTCCGCCAGCCTGACTTTGATGGCTACCTGGCCCAGATGTTCTTCATTCACACTTTCTCCTGCATGGAGTCAGGGGTCCTGTTGGCCATGAGTTATGACCACTTTGTAGCCATCTGCAATCCGCCATGGTATACAGCCATCCTGACCTTGCCCCGTATCATCTCCATGGGTTTTGGTATTACACTGAAGAGTGTGACACTCATGGCCCCTCTTCCCATCCTGTTGAAGAAAGTGCCCTATTGCCACGCTAATGTCCTATCCCTCTCCTACAACCTCCACTCAGATCTGATTCAGCTGCCTTGTGCTGATATCAAGCTGAACAGCATTCTGGGCTTGGCCATTGTCCTGGCCACTTTTGGGCTGGACTCACTGCTCATTGTGGTCTCTTATGTGCTGATTCTTTACACAGTGCTGGGCATTGCCTCTGGGGAGGGAAGGCGGAAGGCCCTCAATACATGTGTGTCACGCATCTGTGCTGTGCTTGTGTACTATGTGCCAATGATTGGTGTATCTGTGATGCCTCGTGCTGCCAAACATGCCTCCGCCATGGTCCACACACTCATGTCTAGCATCTACCTCTTTGTGCCTCCTGTACTCAATCCCATCATCTATAGTGTTAAGACTCGGCCAATCCGACAGGGAATTGCCACCTTGTTCTCCTGTAAGAGGGAATTCTCTGAATCACCAAAGGGGACAGGGACTTTCAGTCAGTCCAGAAATCCTGATGGTATTTCTGCTATGGGTAAAACTCGACACTAGGCATTTTTAGGAGGAATATGGATGAAAAATTCAAAGTGTTGCCACAGGCTTGAATCTGGATCACAAGAGTTATCCCTAAGCTCTTTCCATCTCACATTTTATTAGTGTGTGTGTCTCTGTGTTACTTACACATGTCTTTCTTCCCTAGCCAGATATGATCAAGATGAGGGCAGAAATCGGACATTTTTCTTTTCCTTATTCTCGCAAAACTTATAGCAAAAATCCTGACAAATAGTAAGTTAACAGTAAAGGTTCAAGATTTAATGATATTTGAATGAAAATAAAACACATTTTTATTTTTATTGGTTAGATGGGGATTAAGAATATCCCTTAATAAAGAAAGATTATCCAAGAACATGCATATGAGTAAGGTAAGCATACTTGCTGGTGGCCCCAGGTAGTCATGGTTTGTACCTGTTAGCATCATTATTAATAGTGCCCCCTTTTACTCTTAAAAGTGACCTTCTTTAAGCAATAAGTTATATGCTAGATTTAATTACAAAGCAATCTTTTGTTCTGTAAGGAACCAGACTTTCCCCACAATCCACCATTCAATAGCCCCCGTCCCGAGTTTAGGTACCAGGAGACTCTAATGATGAGGAACAGCTAACTAAGTGACCTCAACTCAGGCATAGAGTAAAATATGGGCAACTTCCCAACACTCAGTCTTCAGATTCTAAGAATCCCAGAAAAAGCAATAAATTCCACTATAGTAGAATATCAGCTCCTGTTTTTAGATAAACACCCATTGCCAAATCAGTCTGGTACCACTGTGTCTGAACGTTGTTGTTGTTGTTAGCTGCCATCAAGTTGGCACCAACTCATGGCAACCCGTATCCTGGAAGGAAACATTGTCCAGTCCTGCACCATCCCCATGATCAGTTGCAGATCAGACAATGTTCCATCGTTATCCACGGAGTTTTTACTGGCTGATTTTCAGGAGTAGATCAGCAGGCATGTGTTCCTAGTCTTAGTCTAGAAGCTCCACTGAAACCTGTTCAGCAGCATAGCCACATTCAAGCCACCATTGACAGATGGTTGGTGGCTGTGCATGAGGTCTAGTGGCCAAGAATCGAACCTGGGTCTCTCACATGGGAGGCGAGAATTCTACCACTGAACCGCCAAGGCCTGAATATATCTCCCCATTTCTACTTCTTCTCCTTCCTTTCAGTTTTAAGTAACCTCATCGTGCCATGTGGTGCGTGTATTCTTATTTACTTCCTCACTCCATTCCTCACTTGGCCCAGTCAGCGTAAGTCTGGTTGGTCTTGCCTGCTTCTGCCTAAGCTTAAACCTTTGGTCAACCAAGGAAGATCATCCTTATTCTTAAACCACACAGGCCTTTGAACAGATAGGACTGTGCTGGATGATCAGTAACTGGTCTCAGGTCTTCAGCTTCACTCATTTTGGTGTCCTGAATGTTTCCTCAGCATAGATTGTTCTACCAACCTCATCCAGCTAACCAAGAGCATCTTTACAAGGTACCTTTGCAAGGTACTCAATCAGTTTAGAGCAGTAGTTTCCAAATTTTTGTTTAGGTACTTTTTTAAACAATTAAAGAAAAAAGAACAAGTATTTATATTTTTTATCATTAATTTACATAGATGGTGAACATGCATTTTGGGATATACTATGAATACAGTAAGTTTAAAATAAACTATTTTATCACATCTTTCAAAATCCAATGGAATCTAAATGCATAATGTTTTGATACTTGACATGCATTTAAGAATAAATGAACACATTCTTTAACAGCTATTTGACATCAGTCCATTTTCTCCTCAACTCAAATTTTTATTGTGCTTTTTCCTAAGAGTTTTAATTATATAATTTACTTTTATGTTTCAAACTATTTTAATGAGCTCCTATTATAATTTTTTGCAACAAAAATATGTACACACATTTAAATTTAATTTTTAAAAATTGACTGCAAATAGAATTGTTTTAAAAGTGTATTCTGCTCTGAATTATTTTTTATACTTATTAGTATACAGTTGATTAAAACAAAATAAGCATAAAACAAATTTTGATATATAAAAAGTAAAATTTTATTGGAAATGCATGTTTTAATGAGATACACGGGGCTTCTTTGGATCTAAAACTGAGTGTTTTTTTAGCAATGGAATGAGACATCGTTCGGTATCATTTCTATTCCTATTTATCTTCTCCTCTTTTTGTAAATGTAAACACTGAGAAGTTTGTTCACATAAATAAGAAGATGATATTGGGACAGTTTTATCAGAGCCTGTACTATTGCTTTTTCAATGGTTTTGGAACTAAATGACAAAAACCAAATGATGATATATTATTAAAAATTGTTTTTAATGACCTAATAAACCTTAAATCTACTGGTCCCCTCTTTACTTTTGCTGAAAGTAATGTACTAAAAAGCTATTTGACTTATGCTAGAGTATGTTATCCAGTTATTGGTGTCATTAACTTCGTCAGAATCTATGTATCTTGGGATGATTCAAGATGGCTTTGATAACTGTGCCTTCTCTTGTCCTTTTTTGGTAAAGTGAGAGAAATGAGATTGTGAAAAGGAAGGAAAAAAGGTGTAACAGAGATCCAGTAAACCAGATACATTCTCTGGCAAAGCATTTTAAGCAAAGAGAATATATGGAAATAGAATATCTAAAAATTTATTCCCTTAAAACTATTTGTGCTCAGGCACATCCTGTGATGTTTTCCATTTTCTCCAGGGATATATATAGTGTTTGAAGAGTAGTAATTAGATGCCCACCCATGACAGTTTCTGTAAAGTCAAGGTAACTGTCCTGGAGAAATCCATGTCAAATCTCACCGTCAAATGCAAGGGAAGATGATTTTTCCAAAGTGGTACTCAGAGAGTTGTGAATGAATATGTGTCTTTCACTGAAGATAGTGGTTTCTGACTTTATTTATTTATTCAGTTAATATTTTTTGTGCATTAACTAAGTGTCAGGTACTATTTAGCTTTTAGTAGGGTAGATATAAGAAGCTCTGGTGGCGCAGTGGTTATAGAGCTCAGCTGCTAACCAAAATGTCAGTGGTTGGAACCCACCAGCCCCTCTGCAGGAAAAAGTTGTTGCTGACTGCTTTTGTAAAGATTACAGCCCTGGAAACCCTATGGGGAAGTTCTATTCTGTCCTACAGTGTTTCTGTGAGTCAGAATCAGCTCGACGGTGGCAGGAGGGTTGATATACAATTATTGGATTTTTTTTTAAAGTTTTTATTATTATTGCTGTTTATTATCATTATCTTCATAAATCTGATTTTATTTGTCTTTGGGGGTTGGAAACATTACATATAAACTTACAGATATATTTTAATACATACGTACATAAAAAATATACAAATCTTAAAAAAAAAAGGACAGTCGTAAGTACAGTTTGCTGTAATTCAAATAATCGTTAAGTTGGGGACTACCTGCATTTGTGGTTTCCATATATTTGCTGATTTCATATAAGTGATACTATGCAGTATTTGTCCTTTTGTGTCTGACTTATTTTTGCTCAGTTTAATGTCCTCAAGGTTCATCCATGTTGTAGCATGCATCAGGACTTCATTTTTCTTATGACTGAGTAATGTTCCATTGTGTGAATATACCACACTGTGTTTATACATTCATCAGTTGATGGACATTTCGGTTGTTTCCACCTTTTGGCTGTTGTGAAAAGTGCTGCAACAAACATTGGTGTACACGTGTCTGTTCACGTCGCTGCTTTCAGGTCTTTTGGGTATATACCTAAGAGTGGAATTGCAGGTCATATAGCAGTTCTATGTTCAACTTTCTGAGGAACTGTGCCTCAGATAATCTTGATAACAATATTATACTGTTAGGTTTCTCATAAATGTGTAACTAGTCCTAATGTCAACTCAACGTCTTGACAGGTTACCCTAAATTGTGCGATTCCTTTTTGAAGTAAATCTAGCACCTTACAGAAAATCCATTAAATGTCACCTTGTACCAGACAATCAAAAACATTTTAATCATCTTTGTGGCGTCAGTGCACAGCATAGAATCTGCTATATAGTGGTTGCTCAATAAATGGTTTTCCAACAAATATTGCTGAATTAGATGTCTTTGTAATTTTTTTAATGTATAATTTATTAACACTATACTTTATGGAATGTACTTAGCAGGTTTTGTAGGTATGATTGTGGGCTCCATTCAATGCACTGATATCAATATCATAGGAGACAAGGTCAAGCATAGGGCTTAATGGCAATCTATCAGGGCTCACTAGGGCTTTAATCAAATTCCACACGTATTTATCAGTGCCAAGCATCTCTCAGTATGTGGCAGGCCTGTGCAGGCATTAGCAATGTATTGCCCTTAAAGAATACATAGGCTAGTTTGACATGGCCCTATTAATCAACACTTACTGGGTAGAGATTAATCAACACTTACTGGGTAGAGAGATTTGATTAGATTAGCTGTTAATTCATTCAACTATATCATCATTTATATCTCATTTCACCACATACTTCTAAGGCTATTATTAGAGATACTTTGATGCATCAAGGCAAACCATGCCTTCAGCATTCATATAATCTGCCAACCAGAAAATGTTATTAAAAAAAGAAAAATGATAGGGTAAATTTTAAGGATTTATTTATGGTAAAGCCACCTCCATGAGGCTGTATAGTTTGTCATTACATAGGTCACTGTTTATCAGCTCCTCCAACTATTTTTTCAGTTATCTTGGTCAAGTTACTTAAATTCTCTAACTCGATTTCTTTCCCCACTTGTAAAACATAGATCCTGAAAGAACATACCTCAAAGAGTTGTTTGGAGAATTAAATGAGATAATGGAAGATCTCAGGTCAGGCTTATTGGCAAATGAGATTCTGAGGTTCTGAGATTTGCATAAAAATCACTTGCCATTGAGTTGAACTCATGACGACCCCATGTGTATCAGAGTAGAACTGTGTTATTTTTTGATTTTTGAATGCAGCATGAAGAATAGATCTAAAGGCTTAAGAATGGATGTTTTAGTAATTCCCTGGGATAGGGAATTCCCCTTTAGGTTTTGACTATTGTAAGCAGATGGCTATACCACATAAGCCACAAGTCTAAAGTATGAACACGCATGAATAGACCTTGGATATATGATCAAGTCTCATTTTTAGCAGGGTTACTTTCACTGTCACCTCTTTTATCATAGAAATCATCATCTCTGGGGACATGATTGCTTAGCAGCAATTCTCAGGGAGAGATCCAGATTATTATGAATAGAATTTTTTTTTTAACAGTTGTTTAAGAATACCAGACTTAGAAAAATCCAAAATAATAGTTGCATCCTTTAAAAACTATTATCTTAGAATATTATCTAGTAAATTTCCTGGCCATCTTTTCACTCTCTCAGGGACTGTGATTTCGAGTAACAATCTCCAAATGACAAGATCACAGATGGTTTGCAGCCCTGTAAGGTTAGAGCTTTGCCAGGCAATATGGTAGTCACGTAGCCACACATGACTACTGAGCACTTGAAATGTGGCTAGTTCAAATTGAGATATGTTGTACACGTAAAATACGCACCACATTGAGAAAACTTAGAATGAAAAAATGTAAAATATTTCATTAATATACTTTTACACTGGTTATGTATTAAAATGATAACTTTTTAGATATACTGGCTTAATTGAAATATATTATAAAATTGTTTTCACTTTAGTTTTTAATGTGGCTACTAGAAAATTGTAACCTACATATGTAGCTTACGTCTTTTTTTTTTTTAATTGTGCTTTAGGTGAAGATTTACAGAGTGAATTAGTTTTTCATTAAACAATACCCATATTGTTTTGGGACATTGATTGCCAGCCCCCCAGCTTGTCAACACTCTCTCCTTCTCGACCTTGAGTTTCCCATTTCCATTCGTCCAGCTTTCCTGTCCCCTCCCACCTTCTTGTCCTTGCCCCTGAGCTGCTGTGTCCATTTAGTCTTGTGTACATGGTTGAGCTACGTGTATTATTGCTTGTTTCATGGGCCTGTCTAATCTTTGGCTGAAGGGTGAACCTCAGAAGTGAATTCAGTACTGAGTTAAAAGGGTTTCCAGGAGCTTTACTCTTGGGGTTTCTCCAGTCTCTGTCAGACCAGTGAGTCTGGTCCTTTTTTGTGAATTAGAATTTTGTTCTACATTTTTCTCCAGCTCTGCCTGGGACCCTCTGTTGTGATCCCTATCAGAGCAGTCAGTGGTGGTAGCCGGACACCATCTAGTTGTGCTGGACTCAGTCTGGTGGAGGCTGTGGTAGTTGTGGTCCATTAGTCTTTTGAACTAATCTTTCCCTTGTGTCTTTGGTTTTCTTCATTCTCCCTTGCTCCAGATGGGGTGGGACCAGTGGAGGTATCTTAGATTGCTGCTCACAAGCTTTTAAGATCCCAGATGTACATATAGGGCTTATTTCTTTTGGACATTGCTAGGCTATAAGTGAAATAATGGAAGCTAATAAGAAATGGTAGTGAAATAGAATAATGAGCTTCGAAGGTGTCTGTTAGTATTTCTTTGTTTACTAAATTCCATGGATTTAAAGTTGTGAAGTTGCCAGCATAAAGGGCAGAGAAAATAACAAACATCCTATAGCAATCTGCCGTATTTCTTAAGAACTTGAATATATATATATATATATATATACACACACACAGAAACACACACATACACAATTATATATATATATGTTGTTGTTTGTTGTTGTCAAGTCAGCTCTGACTCATGGCAACTTTATGCATAACAGAAGGAAATGTTGACCAGTCTTGCACTGTCTTCATGATCGTTGGTGTGTTTGAATCCATTGTCACTGCTATTATGTCAATCCATCTCATTGTTCCCCTCGTTTTTGCATATGTTCAATTGTGCATCCTCAGGCTACACTTAGGTATAGGGGTATTTTTTCCTCTGTAGGAGTTACTCTTGTATTTATCCATGTCTAGAATTTGCTTTTATCTTATGTCAAAGTTGCAGAATGATGCTGCCAGTTTTCCATATATCTTCATAAGAAACAAAACAAAACAAAAAACAAGTACCCCTCTCCACTTACACATAGTGAAGGTATTATTAGTCTGTTTGTAATCATAGCCCGTATTATAAAGGTGGCTGGATAATTTTAGGCAGAGGGAGGTCACACCTGAAGACTAATTGATCATAGGAATTTGTTGCCTGTGTCACATTTTTAAATCAAACAGATCTGCCATCAAAGAGTGGAAATGTATGCAAAAATTTAAAGAAAGAAACAGATTTTGCATGGTTTTGAGAGCAAAAAGATCTTTAGTCCTCTAAGACGACCTTCCTGACTCTCACAAGTTCTGTGAATTAACCTGAATTGCTGTTTTAAATCTATAATCAGAAGTAGAATCAGGAGGAAAAAGAGGGTTTGTAAATCTTCTTCTGGTTTGGTCTGAGCTTCATGACCTGACTTGATTATTAAAAAGAAATCCCAAGTGGCCCAAGTGAACGACTTTTTCTCTTTAAAAAGTAGAATTTCCATATCTACACAAGAGAACCAAGGAAAGATTGGGAGGAAAATCTTTGTGTGGCCAAAAAAAAAAAAAAATCAATGGTCCTTACGAGTCGGAATCACTCGATGGCAATGGGTTTGATTTGGTTTGTTGATCCTGAGCTATAACTGGGTAAATCCCTCAGAAAATAGTAGATAATGAAATTAAGGGACATCCCCCCAGCTATAAATGCCTCCCTCTGCGGTTTTCTCTGGCCCAAGTGTTTAAGGCTTTTTTTTTTTTTTTTTTTTTTTTAACTGTATGAGTATCAAATATTTTTTAAAAAGCAATTTGACAAACTTTGGCTTAATCCAAATGAGACACAAATTAAAATTTAAAAATTCTCAGATTAAAGAACTTCTTATTCTGTTTTGCTTATAGAGACTAACAAGCACTAAAAAATCTAAGATAGAAGAAATAAAAATAGATATCAGGTTAAAAATTCAAAATCATAAAAATGCACTAATAAAATGCTCTTATTAAGGCTTATAAGAGCAATAAAACATTTTAATATTTTGTAAGTAAATGCAGAAGAATTGCATAAGTTTTCAAGTTCAGTTAGTATTCCTAGTAGGGGCGAATCTTCAGAAAAATTAGACTAGCTTGACATTTTTAAAAAATTATTTGAACCTGTTTTTTTTTCATGATATTATCTCAGTGTGGAATATAATAGTATAATATAACATATTATTTTATGAAAGTCTTGGGTTTATTTTCTTACTAAAAATCTAATGATTTTGAGCTTCAATATTTCTTACTCTGTTTTCATTTTGTTACATAAGTTAAAATTGTTTCCATAAATAATATATGAGTTTATGTGAATGCATGACTATATGTTAAACTAATTTAGGAAAGTGTTGTCTTGAAAAAATAGAGTGAAATTTCAAAACTTGAAACTGTCTGAACTGTATGTGAAAAAAAACTCTTCTGCTTATTTTATAGTCTCCATTGTCCAATTCTTACTATACTCTTGCCTTAAGTCTATGATTCTTACTCCTGAGTAATTTAAAAAATTTATTCCCTCACCTCGGATGTCTATTTCTTTGGGAAAAGAAGTGCATAATTGCTTGGCGGATCTGCTTGGTTTTAACACTGTAAATTATGGGGTTCATCACAGGAGGTGTCAGGCGGTAGATATTGGCCATGATAACGTGGACCATAGGAGAGGTATGCTTAGTAAAGCAGTGAGTCATAGATACTCCAATCATGGGGACATAGAGGATCAAAACAGCCAGAATGTGGGACAGACAGTTATTGAAGGCACGGAATCTCTCAACCATGGAGGCAACACCCAGGATGCTTTCTAGAATCATTGTATAAGAAAGCACAATGAGCAATGGGTCCACCACAGTAATGAGCATCACCAGAGCAAATCCTTACCAGCTGTTGACCGGATGTCAGCACAGACCAGCCGAATCATATCCTGGTGGAGGCAGTAGGAGTGAGAGAGAAGGTGGGAGTGGCAGAAGGGCAGTCACTTGAGAAGGAAAAGGGAGGGAAGAACAGCCAGAACACAGCGGCAAAGGAGAGCTAAGCCAGTTCTGCCAATGACTTCACTGGTGAGGATGGAAGCGTAATGAAGGGGGAGACATATGGCCACATAGCGGTCAAAGGACATGGCCAGCAAAACAGAGGATTCCATGAAGGAGAATGTATGAATGAGAAATATCTGTGCAAAGCAGGCTTCAAAGCTGATTTCCCGGGCATTGAACCAGAGGAGCTGCATGACTGTGGGTAGGGTGGTGAGGGTAAGACCCACGTCAGTCAGGGCCAGCATGGAGAGAAATAGGTACATGGGCTGATGGAGAGATGGCTCTGTGTGAATGACAGCGAGGATGGTGGTGTTGCCCATGATGGAGATGATGTAGAAGCAGCAGAAGGGGATGGAGATCCAGGTGTGAGAGGCCTCAAATCCAGGGATGCCTGTGAGGATGAAGTAGAAGAGATCCTGGGTAGTGTTAGTTATCTGAGACATGATAGATGAATAAGGCTCCAGACTCAGGGTCTTTGCTCAAACAGAAGCAGAAACATTAGAAATACTCTTCTTGTTCCATAACTCTATCTTTAACCCATTTAATCTAAACTCTATCCAAATAAAGGGTCAGCGTTTTGGGGGGTAACTAAGGACAGGTTCAGTAACACCAATGTTGCCCTTCCTTAACCTATCTTATCAGAGGTTGCTTCCATACAACTGTTCTCCCCTTCAAGACTCAATACAGATTGTTTCATGGGAAACATTTATGTTTTTTCTCCTTCCATTTTTCTACTCTCATTCAGTAACCTGAAATCTGCCTTTCAATAAAATCACACTACCAATAGTGTTCTCACAAAGACTTCAAATGAACTCGTAACTGAAAGTAATGGCTAATGTTGCACTTCATCCTCACTGAGTTATTTATATCAGTATGTCCTTCTGAATTCTCCTTTGGCTTTTATAACAGCATTTTCACCTTATTCCAATTCATCGTCATCTCTTCACTATTGCTTCTCTCTTCATCATACACTAAGGTCACTATTCCTTAAGGTTAGTCCTTATTTCTAGTCTAACATACCACTTTTTATTTTCATTAGTTAATGTCATCTGATACCATGGATAGAATTTCTACAATATAAAAAAAATAACTGGAGGCAAAGGGCAGGTGCACTGGAAAAGAGGGAGAGAAGAAGGAGAGGGACCAGTCAGAAGGCTATTACAACAGCCCAGGTGAGGACAATCACGTTTATTTAGTACTTTCTATGTTTGGGCACCGTTTGAAGTGTGTTACCTGTATTAATTCTCTTCATTCTCTAACAACAGTTATCATCCCTCTTTTTTTTCTCTTGTCATTGACAGAGGAATCTTACCTGTGGTTTCTCGTGTGTGGTGCCCTCATCACTAATTGTGGCCTGTGTTTTATCTTCTAGGCAGAGGGGCAGGTGTGTTATAACCTTTAGCATATCTCTAGGCTGGAGGGTGGGGAGGTGTGGCACGTTCCTTCAGGATTACCTGAAGAGGTATCCTGAGACCTAGGGTCCCGCTGGTAAGCTGGTGAGTCAGCTTTGTCAGTAAGAGCCTTTGCTAAATTCCAAATGGATTAAGAAGTTAAATGTAAATCAGTAACAAAATGTGTAATAGAGAAAACAATACTAGTATTTAAATCTCTTGTTGAAATAGCTCTCTAAATTTTGCAAAAACGGACAAAAATCACCAAGGTAAAGACAAGTGGATGTGAATACAGAAATATTAAACGTTTCTCTATACCAGAAAAATGAGGATGAACTTTAAAAGAAACTTCAGAAAACATTTATTACAGCATGCTATACCAGTGCTGGTGAGTGGACTCCTACTCGTGGCGTTCCCACCTGTGTCAGAGTAGAAATGTGCTTTATAGGGTTTTCACGTGCTGATTTTTCAGAAGTAGATTACCAGGCATTTCTTTCAAAACGTTTTCAGGTGGATTTGAACCTCTAACGTTTTGTTATCAGACAAGCATTTGCACCATGCAGGGACTCCAAAACATGCCAGAGAAGGCATTAATATCTTTAAAAAAATTAAATGTATTGATATTTATCAATATTAAGACCATGATAGATTAATGGGAAAGAATATGACAAAATTCATAAGAAAAAAGAAATACAACTATGTTGTTGCTGTTAGGTGCTGTTGAGTTGGTTCTGAAATATAGCAATGCTGTATACAACAGAATCAAACACGGCCTGGTCCTACACCAGGCTCACAATTGTTGTTATGCTTGAGTCCATTGTTGCAGCCATTGTGTCACTCCATTTCATTTAGGATCTTCATCTTTTTCGCTGACCCTCTACTTTACCAAGCAGGAAGTCCTTCTTCAGGGACTGGTCCCTCCTGATAACATGTACAACGTAAATGAGACAAAGTCTCACCATCCTTGCCTCTAATGGGCACTCTGGCTGTACTTCTTCCAAGACAGATTTGTTCATTCATCTGGCAGTCCATAGTATATTCAATATTCTTTGCCAACACCATAATTCAAAGTCATCAATTATTCTTCGGTCTTCTTTATTTATTGTCCAGGTTCACACGCATATGAGGTGATTGAAAACAGCATTGCCCGGGTCAGGTCCACCTTAGTCCTTAAAGTGACATCTTTTCTTTTGAACCCTTTAAAGAGATCTTTTGCAGCAGATTTGCCCAATGCAATGCATTGTTTGATTTCTTGACTGCTGCTTCCAGTGGTGTTGATTGTAGATCCAAGCAAAATGAAATCTTGACAATTTCCATATTTTCTCCACTTATTATGATGTTGCTTATTGGTCCAGCTGTGAGGATTTTTGGTTTTTTTATGTTGAGGTGTATTCCATACTGAAGGCAGTGGTCTTTGATCTTCATCAGTAAGTGTTTTAAGTTCCTTTCACTGACAGCAAACACAGTTGCGTCATTTGCATATCACAGGTTGTTAATGAGTCTTCCTCCAATCCTGATGCCACAGTCTTCTTTATATAGTCCAGCTTCTCAGATTATTTGCTCAACATACAGACTGAATAAGTATGGTGAGAGGATACAACCCTGACACACACCTTTCTTGAATTAAACCATGCAGTATCTCTGTGTTCTGTTCAAACAACTCCCTCTTGGTCTAAATGTAAGTTCCTCATGAGCACAGTTAAGTATTCTGGAATTCCCATTCTTGCAATGTTATCCATAATTTGCTATGATCCACACAGTCGAACGCCTTTGCATAGTCAGTAAAACACGGATAAACATCTTTCTGGTATTCTCTGCTTTCAGCCAGGATTCATCTGATATCAGCAATGATATCCCTGGTTCTACATCCTCTTCTGAATCTGGCTTGAATTTCTGGCAGTTCCCTGTCAACATACTGCTGCAACTGCTTTCGAATGATCTTCAGTAAAATTTTACTTGTGTGTGATAGTAATGATATTGTTTGATAATTTCCGCATTTTGTTGGATCACCTTTCTTTGGAATGGTCGCAAATATGGATCTCTTCCAGTCAGTTGGCCAGGTAGCTGTCTTCCAAATATCTTGGCATAGATGAGTGAGTGCTTCCAGTGCAGCGTCTGTTTGTTGAAACATATCAGTTGGTATTCCATCAATTCCTGGAGCCTTTTTTTTAACCAAGGCCTTCAGTGCTGCTTGAACCTCTTCCTTCAGTACCATTGGTTTTTGATCATATGCTACCTCCTGAAATGGATAAATGTACCAATTCTTTTTGGTACAGTGATTCTGTGTATTCCTTCCATCTTCTTTTGATGTTCCCCATAGAATCCTTCAATATTGCAAGTCAAGGCTTGAATTTTTTATTCAGTTCTTTCAGCTTGAGAAATGCTGAGCGTTTTCTTGTTCTTCCTTTTTGATTTTCTATCTCCAGGTCCTTACACATTTCTTATAATACTTTACTTAGTCTTCTCTAGCCACCTTTTGAAAACGTCTGTTCAGCTCTTTTACTTCACCATTTCTTCCTTTCGCTTTAGCTACTCTATGCTTAAGAGCAAATTTCAGTGTCTCTTCTGACAGCCATTTTGGACTTTTTTTTCTTTCCTGTCTTTTTAATGACCTCTTGTTCTCTTCGTATATGATGTCCCTGATGTCATTCTACAACTCGTCTGTTCTTTGGTCATTAATATTCAATGCATCAAATCTATTCTTGAGATGGTCTCTAAATTCAGGTGGGATATACTCAAGGTGGTACTTTGGCTCTCGTGAACTTGTTCTAATTTTTCTTCAGCTTCAACTTGAACTTGCATAGAAGCAATTGATGATCTGTTCCACAGTCAGCCCCTGGTCTTGTTCTGACTGATGATGTTGAGCTTTTCCATCGTCTCTTCCCACAGATATAGTTGATCTGATTCTTGTGTATTCCATCTGGTGAGGTCCACGTGTATAGTCACTGTTTGTGTTGTTGTAAAAAAGTATTTGCAATGAAGAAGTCACTGGTCTTGCAAAATTCTGTCATTCAATCTCCAGCCTCATTTCTATCACCAAGGCCATGTTTTCCAACTACCGATCCTTCCTCTCTGTTTCCAACTTTTGCATTCACATCACCAGTAATTATCAATGCATCTTGATTGCATGTTTGATCAATTTCAGACTGCAGAAGTTGGTAAAAATCTTCAATTTCTTCATCTTCGGCCTTAGTGGTTGATGCCACTTAGTGGTAAATTTGAATAATAATCACGTTAACTGGTCTTCCTTATAGGCGTATGGATATTACCCTATCACAGACAGCACGGTACTTCATGATAGATCTTGAAATGTTCTTTTTGACTATGAATGTGATGCCATTCCTCTTCAATTTGTCTTTCCCAGCATAGTAGACCATACGATTTTCTGATTCAAAATGGCCAATACTAGTCCATTTCAGCTCACTAATGCCTAGAATATCAATATTTATGCATTCCATTTCATTTTTGATGACTTCCAATTATCCTAGATTCATACTTTGTACATTTCATGTTCTGATTATTAATGGTTGTTTGTAGTTGTTTCTTCTCATTTTGATTCATGCCACATCAGCAAATGAAGGTTCTGAAAGCCTGACTCCACCCATGTCATTAAGGTTGCCTCTCCTTTGAGGAGGCAGCTCTTCCCCAGTAGTCTTTTGAGTGTCTTCCAACCTGAGTGGCTCTTGTTCCAGCGCTATATCAGACAATGTTCCACTGCTATTCCTAAGGTTTTCTCTGGTTAATTTTTTTTTTTTTTTTCAGAAATAGACCGCCAGGTCCTTCTCTCTAATCTGTCTTAGTCTGGTATTGTCCACCATGGATGACCCTGCTGGTATTTGAATACCAGTGGTGTAGCTTCTAGCGTCACAGCAACCTGCAATCCCCTACAATACCACAAACTGACAGACACATGGGGGAATACAACTATAAACAAGCATAAAACAATGATCAATTTCATTCAAGACTCTAATAATGGAAAATAAGATCATATATCTTTTTTTTTTTTTTATTAAACTTTCTAAATACAGAGGTAATTTGAAAGGACAAAAACCAAACCTAAATCTATTGAGGATGAGTCCATTCTGATTCATAGCGACCCTGTAGGGCAGAGCAGAACTACCCAATGGGGTTTCTAAGACTGTAAATTTTTACAGAAGCTGACTGGCACATT